ATGATCAAGACAGTGAGAATGAGGAAGAGGACCAAGATTCAGATTCTCAAAAGTCAGAAAATGGTAGCGAGACTGAGACTGATCAAGATGCTAAAATTGCTAAGAAAAAAGATAAAGAACCTGACAACTTGCTTGATCGAGATAGCAAGATCTATGAAAAAGGATCTGATTCTTGTGATGACTCTTCAAAGAAAAGTCCTAGAACTAATATCCAGAAAAGTCCAGATAAAGAAGAGATAAAGTCAACTGAAGCTAATGTCGCGAGAGAAGGGTCAGATAAAGAAGCAGCGGATAAGGATGATGGGTCAGATAAAGAATTTGGAAAGTCCCCTCAAGCTTCTCAAAAGGTCAAATCAAATGATGACGGTGCAGATTTATTTGATGACGATGATGATGAATTTTTAAAGTCAATGTACACACTTGATCATGACATGGCGACAAATGATAAGTTTTTTGATGAAGGGATGGTAGAAAATGCCAATCAAGCTACATCAACTCCAGTTAAAAATCCATGTACAATGCCTTTTCCAGCAGTTTCTCCAGTCCAATATCTATTGAGTACTTCCAATCAATCAACTAAAAGTAAATCTGGCTTCAATGAAAAGCAAAGTAAAGCTAGTTCCGACTCTGGAATAGGTTCACTAAGCTCAACTGGTATTGATCTCAAGTCGACCACGCAAACTCAAATGGAGAAAGCTTCTGAATCAACTCCAGAAGTATTTTCTGAGAACAAAGATACTGAGAATAAAGAAGCAACTCAAAATAAAGAAGATAATCCTACTGGAAAGCCAATTGCGAAAGGCACTAAACGGAAAACATCTGATATCTCAGACAACGAGGCAAAAAAGCTTCAAAAAACCGAAGGAAATACAGAGACAAATCAAACTTCTGCTTCCAAGCCAGATCTATCAGAGAAAGCTTCAACATCTTCTGAGCCTCCAATTGATCAACCCAGTCCATCAATTCCTCATGAAGCTCTAGCTTTCTTGAGCAACCCAGATAATCAAAAATTTTTAGCAGCTCTTATGGCGCAAATGGCGCAAAAGTAATGCAACTCAATCAAATATATCTTCAATTACGGTAACTAAAGCTTTACTTCAAATTTAAACAAATCAATGATCTCATTGGAAACAAGCTTTTAACAAATCAAAATTTGTTGTATCTTGTTTTCTTGAAAAGTCATTAGGTTTAGTTTATTGAGCAATTTTTTCACACCATTTTCCAATTTCTAATATCTACTTTGACTGATTTTTCTAACCAATCAACAAATCGAATTATTTTTCTTTAATCCAATCAAATTTTTCTGCTCACAAATCAGTGTTTAACCGTTTTTACTTTCATGGTGTTTTTTTGTTTCTTTTGCAATAAAAGCTTTGATCTAAGAAAATTGTAAGTCATTAAGTTTTCTATTCTTATTCCTTTTGATTTTGATGTGCTTTGTTAACTCTTCATTGAATCATTTGTTCAAATTATTATGAATCATCATTTACCCCGAACATGTTTTGAGTCAAAAGGGACTAAAACCACACGACAATCGACGACAGTCCCAACTGACCTCAAAATTTACGGCAAATTTAAAAAAAATCAAGTAAGTTCTGTGAAATCTGATCTTCTAGCAAGACCTAAACAAGTTTCAACCGAACCGGCCAAACAGCGTGTTTCCTCATCTGGAACTGTGATCAGTGCAATCATCGACAAGCAACAAACAGCAAACAGCAAGTTTCCTTCAACAACGAGATCTGTGAATTTAACCCAACCACTTAAGGATGGTTTAGTTTTTGCAATTATTTTGCCATATATTTTGGATGAAGAAAAAGGTGAAGTGAAACAACCTATTCTAATAAAGATTCAAGAATCAGAATTGGAAGAATTTGGATTCAGTTTACCTTTTTCTAGCTTTCAAGATCGCAAAATGAACTGCTTCAAGATGAAAATTGACATTTATCATTTTTGCGCTCAAATCATAGCTATCGGAGGTGAGTTTTAAACCTAATTCACCTGTCAATAGCTCACAATTTATATCTTTTTCATAATTCTCCATTCAGATTCTCCTTTGAACTTGAAAGTTTGCCTACAAGAAAATGTATCTTCGAACCCAGAATGGAAAGATTTACCGAAAATGAAACGTTTGTGTGACGGCGTTACTTCGCTTCACCATTGTCCTCTAGAATCAGATAGTGATATTCCGGTTCAGCGTGTTTTGTCAAAGCAAGAAATATCCAAGTTATTTTCTCGTGGTGACAAAGCAACGGAATATCGTGAACAACATCAAGAAACACAGGAAAAAGATAAAAAAGAGAATGAAAATTCTGAAGATCATAAAAAACCTGAGCTTGAAAGTGACAATGAGAATTCCGTAGATCATGATGAAGATTTTACTTCTACAGTGCTTGTAGAAGGTAAAGGATCAAATATCAATGATCGAAGATCGGAAAAGAAAACAAAAGCTGTGCAAGAGGAAATAACAAAAAGTAAGAGACGAAAGAAAGATTCAGATTCAATCGATAAATCAGTAATGGATGTTGCCATGAATAGCATAAATGATCAGGTTGATGATCTAATGAAACGCCAGAAAAGCCTTTCTGAGTACGACACTGTTGGCTCATATCTAATATCTATTATACATGTGTTAGATGAAATGAGGCAATATATTGATTTAAAAAATCAATATAAGGCTGAAATATCCAATTCTGTCCCCGAAAAAGATCTTACATACAAGAACACCCAAAAGGTAAATTCAACTACAATTAGTTTTAAATTTATGATGAATTCAAGTTTTTAATTTCAAATCA